GTGTCGAGAAGAATTAAGTCCCCCTCCTCGCTCCCATGAAGAAAAACGTTGTCTTTCTGTGATTCAAGGTCGATGACGTCCTTCATGTCTCTGACCGGGGCAACATCGGCAGCATCGTCCTCGCTATGGATGACGATGACCTCGTCCTCCTCCGTGTCATCAGAGATGAAATTCACGTCCTCACCTCCACCATCTTGAAATTCCGTCTCAGGAACAAAAGATTCAAAACATAAATCCAACGATTCCATTGCAGATCGTGGAGGAGAAGGCGATTCCATTGCAGATCTTGGAGTTGAGATTGAAAATCTCAAAAGATAAGATAAAAAGGGAGTGATTGAGGTTGAGTGAGGTTGGCGAAAGAGAGAGAGTCCGTAAATGAGAGGTTGGCGAGAGATAGTAAATGAGGGGTATTTTTGGAAGAGTATTGATAAAAACGTAGAGTGGGAAGATTATTTCCGGACGGAAAAAAACGTAGAGTGGGAAGTTTATTTCCGGACGGAGGGAGTATGAAATACAGTATTATTATGGAAAAATCATCTGAAATAATTCAACTTTGATTGTTACGTATAATCACATCTCTTAATAATATGTGTAATAATTCTTCCTTTTTCACTCTTTTGCGCGTTTTGGGTCGCTGTTAGAGGGTAACAGCGCCGTTATGGGATTTTTAAAAAAGTCTATTTTGCGTAACAAAATGAAAGGTGAGATTATTTAAGGTAATTATTTTCTTAAATTTTAAAGTTTGAAATTTTAAAGTTGAAATTATTTGTAGTGACACTTGAAAAAGATTGTAAAACAATATCGAGAAAAAAATATTGTAGTGTTGTTTCAGAAAAAACAGTATCGGTAATGTTATTTTAAAAAAATGATAAGTTATAAAAAAAGTACTCCGTAATTACTAGTGTCTCATTCTAGATAAAATGTTTGGAAAAATTAGTACTGGAAATTACAATAATTATCAAAAAGCAATTCATATTGTCTCTTTTGAAAAACATCGTACGCAGTATAGAAAACATGTATTGAATTGTAAAAAAATTTGTTTTATTTCGGAAAAATGCTGCTCGACAACTTATTCAAAAAAAATTCATGAAAAAACATTTGCGCCACTAAAAAAATTTTGTACTATCATCTTTTCTCCAAAACGCCACTAAAATTTTCGACAACTCTCTACAATAAGTTTTACGTTTTTTTCATGAAATAGCACTACCCTAAAACATCATTGCAAAGTTGTGAACCGTTACATTTTTAAAATATAAACACAAATCTTTGACAAGAGCGTACCATTATATTTTTAAAAATATAATTTCAAATACAAAAATTTTATAAAAAATAAAAAAATGAATTATGTCAAATAATCTCAACTTTCATTTCGTTGCGCAAAATAGGCTATTTTAAATTAAAATCCGTAGAGGGTCGTTACCCCTCTAACGGCGACTCAAGATGCACAAACAAATGAAAAGGTGGGATTATTACGCATAACATTGAAATGTAAGATTATTTTTGACAAATCGCTTAAAGTTCAGATTATTTTAGATAATTTTCTCTATTATTATTTACTTATTATTATTTTATTGTTATCAAATTTCAAAATTCTATTTTGATTTGGATTCTCCATTTATACTATATATATAATGATGATGCATGCTTATTCAATATGACTAATTATTATCACAACAGAATACATATGGTGCTAGTTCATAAAATTGATAGTTTCTACTACGTACTTAGAATCCCCCTTAAAACCCCACCCACCCTCTCCCCTATCTTTAGATTGCCGATTTGGCAACCAATAAAAAGTCCACGATCTAAGAGGTTGGGGTTGAGTGCAAGGAGTTTGTGTGGGGAGGGGGGTAGAGGTAGGAACCAAAAATATTACAAATGAAGCATCATAAGTGTTCTAATATATTATAAGCACACAGAAACATGTTATTAGCTGACTTATAAGCTAAAAATGCTTATAAGCATTTTTGACCAACTTATAAGCACAGAAAAATACCACTAAATGAAATTTTGAATTTATAATTTATTTAGAATTTTACAAAATAAACAAAACCTAAAAATTACTTTCTAGATCTTCAAACAGTCTTGTTGTACTTCGACATTATGTACTAAACTACAAAGGCATTATGCACTAGTTGAAGCAGTTGCTTGGGACAAACTAAAGTATTAACTTGGTAATAATGTCAAAAATTTAAAACATTTCAAACTTTATTGCTTCATAATAAAATGTTCATAACAGTAACAAAGTTCATCAAATTCGCGTAAGCTTTAAATAACTGTTTCACATCATAGTCATCAAATTTAATTAATTCATTTTCAAAATATTTATTCAATAGTTGGAAATCATCACATATTTGTCCGACATATCGTTCCCATTTGCCGCCAGGATGAATCTCACATCATTCCTTATTTTATTTACTTGCGTGTAATAAATAAAACATACTACATGCTCAACGATGAAATTGAGTGAGGATATTTAATGAATAAATCATCCACATAAATAGAATCATAATTCATAAGCAAATTTTTTAGTATCGTGCACATAATATTTAATTCAATATTCATGGTATTAACAATACTCTTAAACTATTCTTAATTTAAGGTCAAATTACAACAGTGCTCTTAAACTATTCTTAGTCAACAAAGTGTCATAGTATTTTTAAATAGTAAACAAAAAGTGTATCTTATGATGTGCGAAATATGTGTTTAAATGAAACTATATGATGAATCCAATCTAGTTTACTAGTAACATCTTATGAATGCGTAACAAGTTAGTAGCTGTGCACAAGCTTACTACACTTAGTGAAAAGGTAATATATAAGTCAGTAAGATCTTTCCCTCAGGGAATGGTGATGTCAATTATAAAACAAGTAAATCATGCCACACCAACCAACAAAATGGCAGGCAGGCATGTACACAACATGCACAAACACATAAGGGGTTGTAATTTCTCATAAATCAAGTGTAGGTGAAAATTAAAAAAATACGAAAAAATAAACTTGAATAAGAAACATACATTTATTGAACAGAAGGAACTCTTGTTTATACATTTGGAAACATCCACCTCAATCAAGTTTGGTTTACTTGGTAATCACGACAATAGATCATCCACAAAGATAACAAATCATTTAAATAGCTTAGGTTGATAGGTACAATTTATCCACAAATTCATATAGATTTCTTAAGTCTAAAACCAACCCCAAACTTTACCTACCTTTTTAAACAATCCATAAAACCATCCAAATGATTTAATTAGAAATGAAACATTCAACTTGTAAATGTGTCACCTAGAGTCTCGCTACACTCCCACCAGTGAGGGTGTATTAAGTAGTGGTGGCAACGCTCGCACGTCCTAAATCTTGGATATATGACGATAATAACTAATCTCAAAGAGGCATTATATCAAGACCCCAAAAAAGGATTGGTGTCATTCATTTTTTCTTCACTCGCGTTGGTGCTGAACCATATTCCATAGAGTATCCTTCAACAGTGAACACAGCAACAAAAGATGATAGAACCATTTGGCATCCACAATCAACAACTATACATCGACACCGGATGTTCAATTGTGGCGATATGGAGATTTCAGGGAGCAGTGAGAATTGCAGAAGGAGCATGTGGAGGGAATATTTGCAGACTCCCCATTTATTTAACATACCACATTTGATTGACTTATCTTCATAAGCAATTAGGAAATTTGGTTCGGGCCAGAATATTTCTTATCATAAAAGTTGTGAAGATTTGATCATCACGATGGAGAGCGAAATTAAGATCGAGAATGAGTTAGCTCAGAGTAGGTTGTGGAGGCAGAACGAAGAAGCAAAAATTAGATCGAGAAGAGAGATTTAGGTTTGAATGGTGAGGGAAAATTGTACAACTCATATTTTTTGTTATCTTAAAAGAAAATTAGACAAATACTGTGAGACCATTCAAAAAAAATATTAGATGAAAAGATAAAATTTAATCAATTAATAACAGTAAATAACATCAACTTTGACATATGACATATGATAATCCTTTCTAAATTTGTCACACACAAAATAAATTTGTATGTTCATGGACGATTATACCCTTTGTGCATACAAATTCATTGAGAATGTCTAGTGTTAATTTGGTGTTATTTTATCATTTTTGAATTTGAAATTCAGCCCAAACATTACGGTATTACGGACCGTAAGGTTGCCGTAGACGGAAAAAGGTGCCGTTATCGCTTTCTTTTGCAACAATTCACAGTTTTATCGACCCTTCATTCTCAACCCCAGTCCCCAGACTCCCCACCCCTGCCGTGCTACTCCGTATACGGTATAGTCTACAGTTTACACAGATATGGCTAGGGAAAACAGCTGTTTGGCACGCGTCGCCGCAGGGGCGGCAGTCGGCGGTGCTGTTGGTGGCGCTGTTGGTACGATTTTCCTTATACCTAAACGTTCCCACCGATCTACAGCGGAGTAATTTGCCCCGTTATTATTCAACAGATAAACGCGGAACAAAGACGAATTTCATCTGTTCTTGATTTTAGTCTTTTATGGTTTCGATTCCATTGTTCACTCCATTGATTTGTTAGTCGCAGCAGTAGGGAGAAGTTTTGTTTCTCGATACATTTTCATATGCAATCAAATCTGTGCGTTTCATATCTGCTGCTTTCCTACCAAGTAGATGGACGAATTTGATTAGGGCATAACTTTTGAGTTTCCTGTCACTGTGTTGTGCTGTTGTTGATGCTTGGTAATAATGGCCTAGGGGATGTATAACTAGCATGAATTGAAATGGTGTCTTGCATATCTCAAGCGCCGGAGGAGTGAGAACAGATGGAATGAATTGTGAGTCAGATAGATAAGAGGACTTTGTTGATGAACTTGAGGGGATGAACAATTGCCTTTGTTTTTCTTTTCCTGGAGATTTAAGTTTTAACAAAAGAGGTCTCAGTGTTAGCAAATGTTTGGATGCAATGAGCTGTAAATTGCATGTTGATCATGAAATTATTGCATACTGTTCTTAGTTGTCTCAACTCCCCAACATGCTATTTGATAACCACATGAAGTTTCCATTCTCCTGCATTAAGAGGAAATATCACTCTATAACACTCACCTTGAACCTCAACTTGTTTGAGTGATGAAACCATTCATTTTTCCATTCCTGGGAATCTCAAGATCAGAAAATCTTTTGTTCCTGCAATCCTCTGAGGTTATTTCAACTTCAACGATGTAATTTTTCATTGTTGCACCAATGACATTGTCGGCCTCCAATGATGCTATATCTGAAGTTGGTGAACCTAACCCTTATTTTTTCCAACAGAGCGCCTGATACATTGTTCTATATGTTTGTCTGCAGGTGCTGTATGGGGAACTTTTGAGGCTATTAGATACAAGGTGAAGTCTCATTTTTTTTCCTTTTTAAATAGAGATCTTGTTTTTG